TATATTTAATTTTTTTATATTTTTTAAATTAATATTTATTAAATAACAATGTAATTTTTAATTTTTTAAAAAATTTTGGGTACCACTGTATATGCACTATATAAATTTATATTTGTCGAATCATTTATTCATTGATCATCAATATACAGTATATTATTGGTCACATGACTTTCAGATTAGTTATTAATAACCGAATGTTCGATCAAATCGAGTTGAACCATTTGATGTGACAGAAACCGAAAATATGGATCAAATAAATTTGATCAATAAATTAGGGGATGCTGATAATGAAAATAATTCGGGTGTTTTGAATTCGGATAGACAACGTTCTCCAGAAATTTTACAGGAAGGTATTGTGAAGAAGCGAAGAATTAGCGACGGGAAAATTGTTGTAACCAAAGCGGTGGTTAAACAAGACGAAGAAACTGAACCAAAATCGAAGTATAAACAGTTAAGTAGAAAGGATATTATCGAGGAACGATTAGACGATGTGGAGTTTTATTATGAGAAAGGTAGAGTTCGAAGTTCAATCTCTTTTGGATTAGTAAATTCCAGTGGCATTAATGATTTTTCTTCGCGCAGGTTTGCGTAAAGTAAAACCATACTATTACGAATATCAGACATTTGCCAAAGGTAGATGGCTGGGCAAAAGCATATTTGACGTTTTTTGTGGCGAGTTTCGTGATAGGGGAAAAGAATATTATGTGAGTTGCGTTGTTTTTTTCTAGCAGACTGTGATAATCTTTTTTCATTTCCCGCTTTTAAATTGGTATTATGTGCAGGCATACGCAATAGAAAAGGGACTCATAACCTTGAATGGTAAAATTGTTACTAAACTGACAATTGTGAAAAACCAAGATTTGATAACACATAAAATACATCGTCATGAGCCGCCTATTACCGCTGATGCAATTAAAGTCTTGCATAGAGAGACGGATTATGTCATAGTTGATAAGCCCGCAAGTATTCCTGTAAGTTTCTTTTCTTCATTGGTGATAAATGAAAACGGTAGATCGAGAAAGGTAACTTATTTGTTCATACTTAATTAATCAACATTAAGGTTCATCCATCTGGAAGGTACACAGCAGTAAACATTTCATGAGCATATTATTTGTATGAGAGAATTCACGTAAATGTTTCTTGTTAAATTCGAAGGTATCGTCATAATACGGTAATACACATATTGCAAAAGGAACACGGATTCCCTGCCCTTTTTCGTATGTATTTGATTAAGCAATTCTTATCACAAACTTTTTCACCACAATCATTATAAAATTGCTATAGCTATGAACAGGTTGGATCGGTTGACCTCCGGCATAATGATATTGGCATTAAATAAAGAAAAAGCTCGTGAATTTGAGAAACTGATGCAGAATCGAGAAATTCGAAAGGAATACGTTTGCCGGGTATTGGGGGAATTTCCGATGTTGGTATCACTAGAATTTATATGTTTCGTTAATTCTTACTTTTTATTAATAATTCTCTTTCGTAGAGGAGAAGTTAAATGCGATCAACCAATAAAAACAGTGTCCCATAAACTTGCATTAAATTTAGTTCATCCGGATGGTAAATCGTGCACAACGTTATTTGAACGTTTGAGTTACAATGGGCGAACGAGCGTAGTAAGATGTAAATACCTTTTAAGATTCACAAAATGCAACATTTGATAGCAAACCAGTTGGTTCACCTTTTTTTAATCATAGGTAAACCGTTAACGGGAAGAACACATCAAATTCGCGTTCATCTACAGTACCTTGGTTATCCCATCGCGAATGACCCATTGTACGCACACCCCCGAATATGGGGTCCCGAACGGGGCAAAGGAGGCACGGACACGAATGTTGCTGAATATATAATTGAGAAGTTCAATAAAGAGTTTGTATGTGAAGAGAATCTAGTTGTGTTTGACGAAGGTATGTTTCTAGCAAACAAGGAAAAATCGGTTGATGGGAAAAGAATTGATGCAAACCCTACGGACAGATCAAATAACGATCTACTGAAAGATTCCAACTCATTGAATGGAGGAATTTGTGAAGAATGCACAATTTCATATCATCCAGACCCCAAACCCAATCAATTATTGATTTGGCTACATGCATTTAAATATGAATGTGACTTATGGAGTTATGAAAGTGAGTTGCCTACATGGGCCAATGAGGATTTCGATGGGGATTTGGAATTTAACAAGGATCCTTAAACCTAATTTTAATAAAAGAATTAGTATCTTTTTATCAGAAGTCAATTACTATTAGCCTGTTCACCTTAGCCTAACCATATTAATGAATAATTGGATTTTTCATGAATAATCAATAAAGAATTAAACCAACTTTATTATAAACGAATCTGGGATTTGGATTTCTATTACTTTATACACTATCCTACGTTGCAACGATCCCAACTCATGTGTGCAGCTATTTTTACTCGTATTCTTTTTGTGAAATTCAAGATACGTCGCGTGATAGCAACTACTTTAGAATGTTTTCTGTAGTATCCCTTGTATTTTAATTATTTATATCGGTGGCGATAACTGCTAATACGGTTATTGTGATAAAAAAATTTAAAAGTTTTCTATACCTTTTCTCTTTCTAATTAAAGAATATAGTCGATCGATAGTTACAAAAGATTTTAAATGCTGTATTGTACAATCCCGTTGAGCGTCAAGAGAAAAAGAGTGATAAACAAAAAGTATGATCAAAGTGTATTTCACAAATATTTTTTGCATTACTTTTCTGACTTCTTGATCAATTAAAGAGTATCATGAGATAATGAAACAATAAAAAATATCTCTACTGTTTTAAATTTATCATGTTTATTGTCTAATGCGTTAGCGTAGGATCACCTTATACTCCAAACCAGACACGTCTTGTCTGTCCGCACGCGCGATTTATTTGTGTGCACGCGCGATTATTTTAACATGTGGCTTCGGACTTAAAATGGTTTCCTTTTCCTAGTATATAATTATTGTAAGCTATAGTAAGGTACGACATTGACACTTCATTCGTTCTCCAATCAGCTCTTTATTGCGCATCTAAGTAATTTTAATTAAATATTTCACAAGCAAATAAAAACGATATGAACGTTATATACAGTTACATATTATAGTGTCATATCGCGTTTGGAAATAATAATGCTCGGTCCCAAATGATTTGAATTACGGGCTGTCATTGGGTAAAGAGACAATGCGTACAGTATTTGCCAAGTTTTTTTTTGGAGTGTGATGATTTCCCTAAATCAAAAGGTTTGAACATCAATAGCAATGATACTTGACTTAATTAATTAATAGCGGAGGTATAGCTGTCTTTGTTACCGAACATACGGCACTGTATATTTGTGGTGAATAACAGAATTATTAAACATGAATAAATTGCTTAACATCAAATACTGTACGTAGACAATTAACCTGTCTATACATTATTTTTCGATTTTAAAATCCATCAAACTCATACCTATAAGTATATTGAAACTTCGAATATGCTCGATTCAATTTGTAATATCATATATACCGTAAATAATAAAACCTGCATTCATTCAAAATAGCATATATAGAATGACGATAAACAGTATTAACTTAAGCATAACTGACACGAAGAAAAGAAACGGATTGTATAGTTTGATGAATCAAGATTTATTTTATTCAAATCTGGTGGATAAAACAAAGTATGATGGGAGGTAGAAGAGGCTTATAATATAGATTGTGTTAAACCTACTGTTAAGTTTGATGGAGGGTCTGTTATGTTTTGGAAATATTTTAGTTGATATAATATTGGGTTATTAGTGATAGTAGAAAAAAATGTAAATTTAGATATATACATTAATATTCTTGCAAAAAATTTAATAACATAAATTAATAATTATCAAATCCAAATGTAATATTTTAATAAGATTTGGCTCCATGTTATACATCTATATATACTACTTGATGAATGACAATACTTACAAAGTCTGGACTTGAATCTTGTTAAATACTTGTGGGATTATTTAAATCATCAGATATTATGCCTCAAAAATAATAATAATAATTTGTGTTGTATAAAAAGAGTGAATAATATAAATATAAGTATTTTACATTATTTAATTTTATGTTTACCTAAACATATCAAAGTTATTATTAGATATAAAGGTGGACTACAAAATATTCGTTTTTAATAGTATAATTTCTTAAATAGTAAATTTCAAAACAAACATCTTTTTATGATTAAAATTTCATTATAAATATTATAAGAATTTTTTTTAAAAAAAATTATAAATCTTCAATGACCATCATGCAAAATACTGTAGTTGCATGCACTGCACGGAAATACTTTCTCCAGTGTCATTTAAAATTAGTAATAAATTTCTGCATTGCGTGATACTGTCGCCGAACTGAATTTTTGTAAAAATCCCAACTCTTAAAATATTATTTTAATGTATTTCGCATAACGATAAATCCCAACTCTTTAAATATTATTTTAATGTAATTAGAATGATATGCTGGTCACTCACTTAGTAATTAATGCAAATACGTATAATAATAATAATACCGTTACTTTAAATTGAGTAATCTAAGGTGTTCTTGATTAACTTATACTAACTTATAATAAAGAAAGCTAGGTCTAAATTTGCTATTGATGGTAATAAAGTTGCTGAGGATGTTGAGGATTCTGAGGATGCTGCATATATGGTGATAAATTTGGAGGTACAGCGGGAACTACCTCGGGATTAGCATGATGCTGAGGATGCTGCATATATGGTGATGAATTTGGAGGTGCAGCGGGAACTACCTCGGGATTAGCATTTTTCTTATTTCTTTTCCAACATATAAGCATAATTAAACAGACAATGCCAATTAAAAGGGCAACTAGGAGAGCAATTATGGTAATCAATAGAGGTTCTGATAATGCCGAGCTTGAAGATGCTATTGGAGTAGCTATGAACAAAGTAAACAGATAAATAAAATATTAATAATGATTGAACACGACAGGTAAGATATAGATAATCATTATACCCATTGCTGTGCCTGTTGCGCCTGGAATAGTTAATTGAATATAACAATTACATCGTGTTAGACCTCATATTTCAAGGGTCTATGATTTATTTTAAATTTACACATATTATTATTACCTGGTGTATTCTTGTTGCCGGTAGCACTTGGAATATTGGGAGCTGTTTCGATGAAATGAAATATTTGTCAAGTGATAATGAACCGTAATTACAGAGATAAAAAATCACTTACCACCTAGAACGAGAATAATAAGATTAACGATTTTAAGCAAAACAATCTCATAGGCATATTCATCATCAGTTATCAACCAAAGACTTATACTCACCGACTAATAATTTTATTTTTGGTGAATCAAGTTAAATAAGTCATGATAATAATCAGAGAAGATTTGTGTTTAAAGTGCGTATACTTACCAACTAAAGTTTTTTAGTGTATACGTATTAATTAGCATGAATTAGTGAAAATATATATTTATTTAAATCGAGACCGAGTGTAATTAAAAATAATACTTACTGGCTAAAGTATAAAACGAGTCGTTAAATTAAAATGATGGGAGAATCCTTACTTTTGAACGTTAATATACTTACAACCTAATTATTTGAAGGATGGTGAGTACCTTAAACAGCCAATTATTGAATTATATAGTTGTGCAATAAAAACATATACTCACCTAATAATAGAGAGTGACAAATGCAATTAATAAATCACAAATGTACATCATTGAAATAATATTTTTAATAGAAACTTTATACATACAAGCTAATCGAACGGAAGAAAATCAAAATGAGTATTATCTAAATGCAAATAATAATCGAACTTATAGCAAACTTTCTACTCACAAACTAATCATTTAAATAGAGTGCACGTAAATAAAAAAATATAAGTTAACAATCACGAGAATCAAATATTCAGCGAGTGATTTTGATTTGAGGAATTAAAAAGGTCACTATACTCACGGCCTAATATTTTAAGAGGCAAGAGTTGCAAAGCGTTAATTGAAAATTATCATTTAGGTCAAGCTTCCAACGTAAAAAAAAAGTTTTATCTTACCAGCTATTAATTTAGTACAATAACAAGTAATGGCGTAAGTTGGAGACGGTAATTAATGTAATGCAATATGGATGCTAACTTTTCAATGTATTTTAACTTTATACTTACGGACTAATATTAAAGATTGGTCGGTCAGTGAAAGGGAATACCGTGTGTTGCTAATTACAAAGTGAATATTTCATACTTACCGGCTAATAATAAAGTTGAATTTTAAAAAATCAATCACTTTATAATTAATTGTGTATCTCAATCAACCACAAGAAAAAAAACTCGCTTACTGTCTAATAATCAGAAGAATTTAACAAAGGATTAATTGTTGTTTGGGCAAGGTATTGAAATTTTGATTCATCATAAAGCCTCATACTCACATGCTAATAATGTTGATTTACAAAGTATATATTACTTAATTACTGATCACTACAATGAATGATATAACCAAAGTTTTTATCTCACCATCTATAATTGAATAGAAAAGGTAACGTGAGAAAAAATATCTCTCAATATAGCAATTTTAATATAATAAAACTTTATATTCACCTGGGAATTAACAAGGCATCAAAAATTCGTGTTATTAGGTGACAATCTCAATATGTCAAGCATCTAAAAATATTTTCACTTACAGGCTAATAATAAATGATATTGGGATTTTTTATTAAGTCAATTAATACTACACATCGAATAGAAAGAAAAGGTTATACTCACTGTCTAGAGATGCATCCAAAAAATGTAAGCTCACGTTTATTTAATTTTAAAGATTTTATAAAGGATTTCGTTTATTATGGATTTATACTCACAAACTAATAATAGAATTGATTGTAAGCGATATTTCTTAAAAATTCAATGCTACAGCAAAATAAATAAACTTTTAAACTTACCATCTAATGATTAAATGCAAGGTCGAATAAAATCATAATAAAGATTAACAAGTGCATAAAAGAAATTTTATTTTAATTAGATTACGTATACTCACCTAGTAGTTTTATTTTATTTTTTTAAAAAAAAAAATCCAGGAAATAAGTATAACTCGTGGCGCATTATATATCTTTCTAGAAAAGTTGACTTATACTTACGGGCTGAAAAAAGGGTTTGGTTAGTAAATTTGTTGGTTAAATATTATTATTCACTAATTACTGTATATAGATACGTATACTTACTATCTAATGATTAAAAAAAAGATGTACATTGTAAGAGATAAAAATGAGAATTAATTCGGTCCTGCAATATATTCTCACAATTAATTGGTTATAGATAAAAAAAGATTTTATACCCACCGGCTAATTATTATTTAACAGAGCAAGAAGTTTAAATTTAATAGAATGTTGTTTTATCTTAAATTTTAAATATGAATAGAATCAACACACTCACCTAAAAATTTAATAAAACGTCACCAAAAAGTGCATCAATAAATTATTTATTTAAGATCATTTTCCCAAGTTCCTAACCATAAAGCTTCAATACTCACTGGCTGATAATATGTTAATTGGAAGGTGTCAATTACTTGATAATGCAAAGATAGATATAAACAAAGTATATCTACTTACGTTCTAGTAATTGAATTTAATGAACGAGTTAACTCGATGATTCTCGCACAACACAGTAATTTCAAAGCAAATGCATCAAACATAATACTCACTGTCTAATGATGATAGAATAACAAGGATCATAAAGAGATAGTAACATTCATGGGATTGTCAAGTTAAGATCTATTACAATTGACAATTGAATAATAAAATTTGGTTCTACTAACCAGCTAATAATTTATAGGAGAACGTGAGAATAAAAGTTAATTAAAGAAGTTCAAATAATTTTAAAAATAGATGCAAAAACCCTTCATACTCACGATCTAATTATTAATAAGCGAGACATAATTAGTTGATTATAGAAGTATATGATAGTTTGCAACGCGCACATGAAAATTGTGCATTAATTGCTATGGTACGTATATATCGAAGCACTATACTTACTTACTATTAATAGAGTAATAATAGAAGGAAAGTTAACGCGATAAACCAAAAATGGCAAAAACAACATTTCGAAATGCAATACATACTGCCTGATTTTTCATAGAAAACAATTAAAAAGTTTATCAGAGATAACCATTTCTGAAGAAGACGTTAATTTAGAAAGTAGTGAAAGTTTAATTATACTCACAAACTAATAATTAGATAAAGAATGTGGATTAATAAAATATTTAATCGAATTAAAACATCAGATGTCATCAAATACTACATACGAACTGATGTTTATAGGAGGTTTGCTTAAAGATGAGTTATTACAAAACGTTTAATCGACAACAAAGCTTTACAATCAATCACCTGCTAAAAATTAGAAACCAGTTTTTGATAAGTTATAAGGTCAATTAAAGAATGACTCATTCACTACTCAAAGATAATTGGTTTTTACATACTCTCTGATAATTTAAATGAGCATATGTAAGAATCAATTGGAGCAACTCATCGCATGACTTTAATTATCCGAAAAAGATCTTATACTTACGGCCTATCGATTTAAGAGTTAGCAAGAGATCATCGCATAAGAACTACAACAATAATACAATAGAGAATAATACTCACTCTCTAATAATTTAAAAAAGGTATGAGATCATTTAGTGAGGGTAATTACTGAAAAATAAAAATTTTATTCTTACGCCCTAACGTTTTAAAAAATCAAAGAAACCAGTTAAAGAGTGCTTTTTCAAGGCAAAAACAATCGTGAATATCAAATTTACCTTCCGTCACCGAAATTGCAAGTGATGCAATGTGGATCAAAGTAGCGATAAAATTAAAGTAGAACCTAGACATAATTAATCCGTGAAAGAATTCGATGGATAGGAAGGAGCATGTTATTATATAAACCGGCTGTTATATTGCACCAAAATGCCTAACACCGACACCGCAGTGCGTGCGCTATGTACTACGTAATACGACGGCGTAATAAGGGAATTCGTATCTCAGATATGATACAGGCTGCATCTTGGATAGGCAGATACAGTATAATAATGGATAATTAATCACGAGATAACGACTGCCTTCTGCTTCGATTATCTCTTTGAATGCTGTTGCTTTAAAACTCGCTGTAGAAACAAATATCGGCTAGTATAACTGTGGCAAAATGAAGCAAATAAGAGAATACGTTTATATAATGATTGTGGAAGATGAGAAGGTTTCTGTGAACCTCCCACCAGACAGCGTCCTTACCAACGTTTTATTATTAGACACAATAGCCTGTACTTTACAAGCCCCATGAATTTTTTTCGAAATTCCATCGTTCCTCCTTTACCATTTATGGTGTGCAGCATTAATGATATACTAATGTGGATATACGTAATTTGTGTCACTTGTTGCAATTCAATTTGACACTATAGATACATATCTATTTTGATGGGTCGATCAACAACTAATTATACATCGACGTTTTTTGAAAACAAGTTTATTATTGTAACTATATTTAAAAAATACTTTATTTGGGTAAATGAGAAAAAATTATCTTATTTCTAAAAAAGCAAAATTTAAAATCAATATACAAGCGAATAATTAATCCAGATTGAAGATGGGATAATTAATCAATTTCTCAATATTAATTTTAAGTTTATTAAAATTAAAAGAAACAAGCAAAAAAATAATAGAAATACATTTCGTTAAATGCTGTTATTCTTGATTATCACAACGAATTATTTATTAATACAAAATGAAATTTTTGTTAAATTTTTGATCCAACTTGAAATTTTTTAAAAAAACAAATCAAAATATAAAAAATTGTTAAATCCAAAACATTTAATATAAAACATTTAAAAAAATTAAAACTCAATAACAACAACAATATAAATATAACATTTTTTTTTGACATTCAAAAAATTTAAAATCGAATTGATTTTCTTTTAAAAAAATCTCTCTTTCGGAATTTAATGAATATTTCATAATTAAGATCTTAAAAAAAATTTTTTTTCTAAAATTTAATAAATCGAATATACAATCTCAATTAATTATAATCTATCGGTTAACTTAAAAATAAATAAACAGTATTAACTATTATAAAAAATAACAAAAGTTGATTTTTTATTGTTATAATAGTGCATAAACTATAAGAATAACCTTTAAAAAATAAGATTCTTCTATAAATAATTTCAAAACTTTGTTAAATTAATTAATTAACAATGTTATAAAAAATTAACAATAAATTTGAATAAAAAAATTAAACAATAAGTTCAAGATTATTATGTATAACTATTTGGATAATAATACTTTAACTTTATAATTAATATATATAGATATTAAAAAATTAATACAAATCTGACTCATTAATAAATTAACAATGAATATAAAAAATATTTTTATTTAAAAAAAATTATATTCATTTAATTTTTTCAAAATTAAAATAACAAAATTAAAATAACAAATTTTA